CCTCCTCGATCAGTTTTTTGCCAGCAAAGACCAAAAATTTTATGAGCGTGGAATTATGCTACTACCAGAAAGATGGCAAAAGGTGTTGGACCAGAACGGTCAATATATAATTTAATAAAGTATTTGTTTATTATACGAAAACTGTCTTTCATTTTCACAAAAAAAAGAGAAATGACTTTCCGAACAACCCTAGTTTGCGTGTGAAAGCGCCCTCACCCAAAATTCCACCCAAAAACAATTAAAAACCCTTAAGCGCGTTTACGATACCCAAGACAGATACCATGCTTAGTTAGAGGTAGCCTTTGTCAATTGGCCTGTTATGTAAATTGTGTTTGAACACTCTCTATAACGAAAAAATAGGATCAACCATTCTCATTCGTTATATAGATTGCAGAGAAAATAGAATTTAACAAATTGAACATTTACTGCCTGATGCCAAAACAAAATTATTATGACGATAGGCTGTTTCTCGAGATTTTGTATCACACGTACGAAAACAACTTCTTTTATTATCAACCGTGTTCTTTGTTTCGAAGATTTCCTGTCTGGTTTACCAGCCCACCTAGTCCACACTTCCTAATCGTGACATTAACTACTTTGTCCGAAAATGACATCATCATTATCGTCATGACTCTTCTCTCTCAGCCCACAAATGTTATTTAATTAGTTTATTCCGTAAAATGTACGGATGAGCCTATTACGAAACGATGTAAATCAGTGAAATATTAACCGGATGTATCCTGTTTATAACTCTTATTTCACTCCCAGTTTTGTACCTATTTGCTTAGTGTTACTACAGTTCAGCAAGCGTACAAAGAAAACCACGTCCATAGTTTGTTTTGTTATTTTACATACTTTCGAACATGTTTTATATATTTGCGTTTGTAGCTGCCACACAAAATCAAATCCGATGGCGGATCCTAACCGCCATTTTATTAAACCTAATGATTTCTTGAATCCTTATTTATTAAATTAGTTACCATTAGTACAAAAAGCATCTAGCGAATATAGTACACACAGGGAGCTACGTCAGTTTATAAAATTTCATTGAAATCCAGGGGAGGCGGTCCAAAATCCGTCACTTGCGAAATTAAACGAAATGATTTATAATTACGGCTTCATCTTTAGCAATTTTCGAATATGGACAAGCAAAAGTTTGCTCTTTGCGGTGGTTCAAGCAAAATTTGTTTGATGTAAAAGTACGGCAATATGTCTTAATTATAATTTCTTTTACCAATTATCAAATTTAGACGCGTAAAATTTCGCTTTTTACAGTGGTTCAACCAGGACAGGGGTCGGCATGCTTTTAAGGTGGAAGAACCGTTCGCAATAAAAATATTGTTTCATGAATTTCAAAGAGCCATGAACTTTAAATTCGGCTTTTACATTTTCTTTCAAATTTGTATCAGATAAAGAAGCGGTAATTAAATAAAAGGGGGGCCTCATAACCTCACATATGAACAGCTAGAATTGTCTCTTGGAAGAGCTCGCGAACCGCAGTTTGTCGACCCCTGAATCAAGGGAATTAGGAAATACAGCGAAAGAGATAAAGGTCTGTTGCAGTGTAACAGAAAATATAAATCTGCGGTTCGTGCGGGCCGTAATGTGATTTTGAGAAGGAAGGAAACCTTTATATACAATTACGACTCCGAAAGGAAATTTAATTATCCTGACGTTGTTGGGCGACTAGATTGATGATCTGATTTACCTTCGTATGAGACGCATGTATGTGTATCTACTTTGTGGAGGTGCGTAAATAATAATTTTATTGTTAAAATGGTCAGGCAATACAATAGTAGTGTCTAATATTCGATACAAAACTTTGTACATTTTCAGTAAGTATCATCGGTACAATTCTATGTGAAATGTACAATTATTGATATTATATACATATCATAAAATTAATGATGGGGAATTAATTAATTATAAATATTTTTTATGTAGATACTTCAGATGATAAACGATAGATAGGCTTATTCTATTAGTCCCTCTACAGCTATCAAGTCAGTAACGTCGACGCCACAATTTTCTCCAACTCACTGGGTTAATATGTTTTAAAGCGTCTTCAGTTTGCTTAAATGAACTATACATTGTGTCAATGTCGATATTTTCAGGCATTCTTCAAAATTATACAAGCCAACAAAATAAAACCAAAATTTATGAGCCATTACTTAACCCGACGCATCATGTAGGATAAAGAACGCAAGGGTCCGCTGCGCGAAAAACGACTGCGCATCAACTTCGGTGATGACAGCTGTCACCATAGAATCTCTTTCTAGCAACGTATGTGTTTCGTTTACCAATAGGTCCGTCCCTAACCAACTGATCAACACGACTGTTCATGCGCTGTTATACAGAAGGACACTATGCAGTGTTCTATCTCGCGCCGGGCCTTCCCCTGTTACTCTATGATTGTCAGACACAAAAGGTGTTGCTTACGCGTCAAATGTCATGCGCATTACGTCACCACGCAGCGAACTGTCGAGCGCAACTTAGCAACTCTATCTTGGTTAAAACGTAATAACGTATAAAGTTTCTCTAGTCTGTCAAAATTCTAAGATATTTACAAGTTAGTAGCACTGGGTAGACTAAAAAAGCTGTTTGAGGGCGAGGTTAGCCTGATGGAATTTACATTAATTACTGTCTACATTGACGAGAATGGATAATGTGGTGCAGTTTAGAGACTTACCGTCTATCCCGTCCCTCGTGAGGCAATCAGCCCATTCCTGACGTTCAATCTGCTGATCCCTGTTCATGTCACACGCTTTTGCAAAACTTTTCGCACAACGTTTCGGCTTCACCGCCTTCTTTACTATCTTCTTTAAATCCCTGTATTCAGTCTTATCAAGAATGTTGTTGTTATCAACATCCAAATATTTAAATTTCCAATCTAGCACTAATTTATCAGCTTCTGGTCCTACAAGTAAATAACTAATTCAAGGTGTATTATATGAAGTAAAACGGTTTATAAATCTTTTGGCCTATACCAGAAAAGTATTTATGAAATTAACGTATAAAAATCTTGAATTACCCAGTATTGCACTAGTCGTTCTGCTGTACTCCGTATGAAAAATTTTAATTAAATTATTATTAAACAAAGCTTTATCTTCTCTCTTACAGTTCCTTCTAGGTTTGCGTGACGAATGAAATGACGATCTTCTTCTTGTTTTCTTTTTCCTTTTGCATCTTGGTTTAGCACCCGATTTCCATCGTACTGAGGTATTCTGAACAGGGTTTCCTAAACAAATTGAAATATTTGCTTGTAATTTCTAAATAATAACTAAATAACCACGGACAATTGAGTAAACAAAATTTAACATTAATTTATAAGTAAAGAAATCGACATTAGTCATCAGTGTTGAGTCTGTCAAAAGAAAAACGGTGAACTAACAGGTGCCTGGATTCTATTGGCTATCTGCTTTACACATGCGTAGTACATCAGTTACTGAAGATCAGTTGACGCCAATGGGCAGAGAATAAAATCTAGGCAACTGCGTTCGGTTACGTTATTTTAAATGTGTAACAAAAACTGCGATATTAATATTATTATAATAAGTAATAAATAATTATTTAATAGGTCAAAATAGTATTTTACCATATGAGTTTTTTAATAGTTTATTACCTCTCGCTGTAACACACCAGCAGTAGCCTGTGTCTGGATGACATTGGACATTTGCAAATGTACCATCTGGGCGACACTGGGGTTTGTACGTATTTTTGGGATTGGCCTAGAACGAAAAATATTTTTCAAACCTTAAGCAACATATATTAGATTACTGCTCACAAGCAGTGAAGGATCAGGATAGGAAAGAGTGGAGGTGTGTGTCCAATCAGTCTTAGGATTGATGACTCTATGATGAAGATGATGGTGCACACAATTGTAGGAACGGACAGAAGAAAAGTGAAAACATATCTGCACCAGCATTTGTCTAAATCATTCACAGAAACTACAGGATAACTTGGATTGAAACAGACGGACCCGGAATTGGATCAATTACTGTCCTGCCCTTGTTTAGACTTTCAGACCATGCTGACCGCTCCGTTTTCGTTAAACAAGTAAAGTCTATTTTGCTTAGATTTTTTTTATGTTTTCGTGGAAGAGGGGAAATCTTCAAAAGATACCCAGCCGTCCGTACGACTGGGTAGTGTCGGATTCCCGATTTCAATATTTCAAATCAATGAAGTACTTAGAAGAGCATAAGAAAGTTATCTTGTTTCCGATGCTGGTGTAGATCATTTCGCAATAACTTACCTGAAAATAGGCGAGAGCGACAAGACATGGTTTATCGCCTTGATTTTGGCAAGGGCCTTCATGTGCCAATGTCAAATTACTATCTTGACATTGGGCCTTTTCTAAATGGCACTGACTCGGATACGTAACTGAGTTTGAACCACATACTGGGTCTCCACTTTTATTACACTGCTTACTCGAACAAGTCACATTCTGAAAAAAAAATAATTCTATTTACTCGTTGTGGCAGTGTCACAATATTGTTTTTCATTTTGATAATATTGTACATACATAATTTGCAATTTTTACATATAGCCGTTTTTGAGATGTATCTGGTATGTTTAAAAATCGTGATTTTCCTTGCACATTCAATGAAAGTTTTTTAAAAAATGTACCTATTTATGTTACTCCAGCAAAACTTAGTCTAATGATACTCCTAGATTTCAAGGTTAGAAGGGTCCGAAATGTGATGTTACAGGCGAATGATGAGGATACCATGGATAGAGAAGGTTAGAAATGAGAAGGCATTAGAAAGAATAGGAGAGCAGAGGACGCTATGGAAGTCAATAAGAATAAATTGTTGTTGTAGGTTGGAAGGCCACCTCAGGCATGAAGGGCTAGTAAGAGGTTTATGGAATCCAGAAACAGGAGCTAAGAAGGGTAGACGTAGACCTACATTAGATTACTGTTCACAAATAGTTGAGGATGTAAGATGATCTAGTTTTAGGGAAATGCGAAGATTACCTCATGGAGGAGCATGTCCAACTAGTCTTAGATGACCTTGTGATGATGATGAACACTAACGCTCATAAATTAAATTGTTATGTTGTTGAGATCAATAATATCGATATTCTTTTCTTGTTCTTGATATCATCACGAAAAATTGGAAGAGAAAGAGGAGACTATATCGATAAGATGGCATCATATTGTGATGATCTACTTTTATTCTAGAAGATTAACGTTGATGCAGATTAACAATTAGTTATATTTCTGAATGTGTCGATAAAGTAGAAGACCTTGCTCATTACGGTAACCTCAACGAGGAAATGTAAAATTTTTGCATTGGCAATAAAGTAATTGGAATACGCTGTCTACGGACTAAAACAGTAAAATATGAGGTGTATTTCACTTAATTTATGTAGTAATTCAAGCTGAATGCACCGTAGGACGTTTAGTATTCATATTCTGACAGCTACAACAGCTAAATGCGTATATAGGTATTATTTATATGTCTATAAAGTGCTGTTTGATAGACGCCAATAGTATTTCGCCGCAGCATACAAAGAACCTAATTAAAAGGAGTGCAAATAACTTATTCTTCCACAGTAATTCAGAGCCAGCATTTCATTGCCAAGCTGTTTTCAAAACATTGCTTGTCATTTACTTGCTTACCGTACATACAAAGAAAACTATTTAACAAAGAACATTAAATTCTTGGCCACTAAGTTATCTGCTAGACGTAGATCGGACTTGTTAACGTCAAGCAGGGCTGTAATAGATATCCGCATCCGCAACCGCGGATGTTCCGCAGAAATTTTAATATCCGCACCCCTGTCCTTATCCGCAAACTTAAATTCTTTAAAATCCGCATCCGCATCCGGACGCGCACATTCTGATGAGGATACCCAGCAGATAATTCATTGTATTTAATTTTCTTCCCCTATTTTTGATCAAAGCAATACTGAGGTTTAAATTTTTTATATTTAAAAATTTTTTGTATTAAAGTTAATATCACAAAAACGATAATACATGTTATAGTATTCTGTAAATAATGGTTGAATGCCATTAATTATTTATTCAGATAATGTTTTCATATTATGCTTCATGAATCACTAACAATTTTTTTGTAGAATATACCACAAATTTCCGTTGATGACGCGCTTATCTAAGAACATTTTGATGTTTGATCACATACTTACATATAAAACGTCGTAATATTAATAGTTAATTAACTTCTGCAGAAGCCAACCTATAGCATAACAATTTATTGCAAACTTTTTACAAACAAATCATTTATGGAAGTAAACAGTTAATTACTCTGGCTTGGAATAGACAGGGAAATTAGGAGAAATAACTCTGTAAGGTCACATNCTGGTGGATTATTCATTTTAACAATCGATCATTAACTTCAGTTTTAAGAACAATAAACGTTCATCATGAATCCGGCTCGAAGGACCAAAACTTGAAATTGAAAAACTCGATTCATCTGACGATGCATAATCGTTTATTTAAATAAGTAGGAATAATCGATTAATAAAATAGTTAGTTAACCTTTAGTCACCTAGAATGAAACGAAATATTTCCTTAAAGGACAATTTGATTAATAGATTATTCCAATTCATTTAAAAAATTCTTCGACTGGCTAACCGATAATTTTTTAAAAATGAAATTAATCGAAAATTAATCGATAAATCTGTTTGCCCAGGGGTCTAGTTGTTAGCGTTCGGATTCCTTAATTAATTCAATATAAATGACAATAAATAACCTTCTGGTAACGTCCATCTGGAGTACACTCCGGAACATAGAGACCATTGTGATGCTCATTTAATGCCGTCTGACGATCGGATAAGCAATCTGACGTATCTTCATCCCGTATTTCTTGTGATTCTTCGTCATAATTCTGACCAGAAGGAGGTGGTCTCAAAACTACAAGAATCTATTAGCAAAACTCTTGAAAAAAATAAACAAAAAACTACAACAATATCAAATCGTGTTTTGTGGAGCAAGAAATAATATACCAACCAAACAGATAAGAAAATAAAGAATTGAAAGAAATAATAATAAAAAACAAATGAAGGAATATGACAAAAGGTATATAAATTTATATCAAAAATTTGACAATCTACACAATGATTTTATTGATAATTCACTGTAATAATTTGTTTGATAATAAGAAGCTATACAAAATAGTCTTAATATTTACAAGTATATAAATTTGTTAAATGCAAGAAGTACGTACTTTTTACATAAATATGAAAAACTGTACATATTTGATTTATATAGTTTATTTAGTAATTTTTATGCAATGTTTCAAGAAACTGTAGGTAGTCTTTAAAATGATTATTTACATATAATGCCATGAAATAGATGCAGAATTTATAACGACCCTATTTATGTATAAATCTAGTTGGACATTTAAATAAATGCAAAAAATTGCCAGAAACTGATTTCTGAGATATCAGCAGAAGTGAATCTACGTATTGCTTTTGGTTAGTGCTTCATTAGTTCAAAATGAAATAACTTTAACAACACTAAAATTTTTCTTTAAAATAAGTTATTACTTTAATTGACTTTATTAGATACTTTATTGTGGTGGTAGAATAAACAGATCCAATCATTTTTGGAGTACCTCATGAGAATGAATTAAGCAGTTAAAAGAGTGGTAAATCTAGGTTAATTCAGCAAAAAGATAAAATATTTTGTTTATTTACTTTTCAAAAGTATTAAAGTCGTATTAAAAAATACAGAAGTAATTTTTTTTTGATCCAAAGATGTTAAATACTTCAGTTTGCCAGTACCAAGTACCACCTTGACTGGAAATTACTTCAGCGAACCCGGATTATGTTCAGACCAGGATCAGATTTGTCGTAATACGGCCATCTAATCAGGTCCTGATCAGAGTGCAGTACTCCATCCCTTGATGTAAAGCACAGGACTCTATCCTTTGGTTCAGCCATCTGATCAAAATATAGTATCCTTTCCTTTGATCCGTCCATCTGATCAGTTTCTGATCAAAGTACAATCACCTGATCAGTTCCTTATCAGGATATAATACTACGAATCTTATTACGGTTTCGGTACGTTATTTAAAGCAAGATTGTATCCGATGTCCTGAACTAGATCATGATACAGAATTTAGTTTTTTATCTGATCTATTCTGTATGTAATATTGATTATTAAACAACAAATTTATTATTAATGTAAAGACTAAGTTATTATTTTGATTATATTAACAACGTCATAACGCTGCATTTACTTTATTCCTGATTCATCCCTGATCAGTCTTCAGGCAATCCTGATCTGGATCGGACCCTACACTGAATTAATTTCCAGTCGGGACCATATTCTCCTGCAGTGGTTTTAAACATCTGCATTTCTTGTNATTTTTTGTATTAAAGTTAATATCACAAAAACGATAATACATGTTATAGTATTCTGTAAATAATGGTTGAATGCCATTAATTATTTATTCAGATAATGTTTTCATATTATGCTTCATGAATCACTAACAATTTTTTTGTAGAATATACCACAAATTTCCGTTGATGACGCGCTTATCTAAGAACATTTTGATGTTTGATCACATACTTACATATAAAACGTCGTAATATTAATAGTTAATTAACTTCTGCAGAAGCCAACCTATAGCATAACAAATTATTGCGAACTTTTTACAAACAAATCATTTATGGAAGTAAACAGTTAATTACTCTGGCTTGGAATAGACAGGGAAATTAGGAGAAATAATTCTGTAAGGTCACATTTTCCTTTTATTAATAATTGAAGCCCTACCAAAGTACAATAATTAATTTTTATTGTATTCGTGTTAATTTGTAACGACGAAGAGGACTTTAACTAAACAAAACCTTCCAGACTGAAATCATAAACCACGTTTCTTCTTTATGAGGGAAAACATATTCTGAATATGAAAATATTTGCTCTGTTTTATATTCCCTAGTAATGAAAGTTACTGTAGGTACCGTATGGTGTGTTGACAGTACGCCAGTGCCAGAACTGGTTCGCTAATCATTAACTTCAGTTTTAAGAACAATAAACGTTCATCATGAATCCGGCTCGAAGGACCAAAACTTGAANATAACTCTGTAAGGTCACATTTTTCTTTTTTTAATAATTGAAGCCCTACCAAAGTACAATAATTAATTTTTATTGTATTCGTGTTCATTTGTAACGACGAAGAGGACTTTAACTAAACAAAACCTTCCAGACTGAAATCATAAACCACGTTTCTTCTTTATGAGAGAAAACATATTCTGAATATGAAAATATTTGCTTTGTTTTATATTCCCTAGTAATGAAAGTTACTGTAGGTACCGTATGTAAGTGTAAGTATCCAAGTAAATCAAACAACACAAAATTAAGTTTCTGAAAATACTGAAAAATCAAAGGTTATACAAGCATCGCATCAAAGTAGATCTAACCTAAAAATATACATATGCGCACACATTGTTTAACATCTGTGCTTCTTTTAGCGT